GTACTGATTCCCGCTCCGACTCAGTGGCAGCTCTCCCGCGAGGTCCAGGGACCAACGGAACCCTAGTCCGCAGATTGGCAGTGAGTGCAGCTCTGCTTTGGCCTGCGTCAGGTTTGCTTTGCTCCTCTGACACGCCTCGCACCCCTCCACCCACTCTTTTACTTGCCTGCGCATCCCTTCCCACCACCAGCCCGTCTTCAGCAGGTGTACGGTCCTCTCGTGCCCGAAGTGCCCCAGCTTAGTGTGCACTTCCTTGATCACTGCTTCACGGTCCTCGGGCGCTGGCACCAGCTTCCACCCATCCTCCGTCTTGATCTGCAGCTGCTGCTGATACCACCTGTAGTGGTGCCCTCGTGCCCTTACTCTCTCAGGCACCGTTTCATCCTCCTCGGTTTCTCCCTTCACCCATTGCATTGCCTTTGCATCCAACCAGATATCGGTTGGCCCCTTACTCCCCTTCGCCCCCGTCTGCTCCACCTCTCTTGCCAGTAAGATCAAGGTCCGTGCCGGCTCTTGCTCTGTCTCTTCCGTCCCCAGGGTGGCCTGTTTCGTTTCCAGCGGCGGTGGATTGCGGGAGAGGCCGTCAACGTGCTGCAGCGTCTTCCCCGGCCTGTGCCTGATCTTGAAATCATACTCCTGCAGCTTCACTGCCCACCGCGCGTTCCTGCCTGTCAGCCCTGGTGTAGTCATCAGCCAGGTGAGTGGCTGATGGTCAGTGACTAGGGTGAATTCTCGGCCCTGCAGGTATATCCGGAAATGCCCGACCGCCCACACTGCCGCCAGCCCTTCCCCAATGTATGAGCTATATTGTGCTTCCGCCGGGTTGCAGCTCCTGCTGGCGTAGGCCACCACCTTCTCCACTCCCTCCACCTCCTGGCATAATATTGCTCCCATCCCTTGGCTGCTCCAGTCTGTGTAGAGGATGAAGGGCTGGTCTGCTGCTGGCAGCCGCAGCACTGTCGCTGTCTTCACGGCTGTCATGAGGTCTTGCAGTGCCTGTCTCTGCTCCTCTCCCCACTCCCATGCCTTGTCCTCCCGCAGCATCCCATTTAGTACTGTCGCTCGTTTGCTGAAGTTCGGCACGAAGCGCCTGTAGTAGCTGAGGAAGCCCAAGACCGCACGCAGCCCTGACTTGTCTCTTGGTTCCCTCAGCCTGTCCAGCACTTGCACCTTCGCTTGCTGGATACCAATCTGCCCCCCTGTGACCTCATACCCAAGATACTGCACTGTCCGCTCCCCCCACCTGCACTTGTTGGGATGGCAGGTGAGCCCTGCCCCTTCTATGGCGGTCAATGTCCTCTCCACGTCCTCCAGGTGCTGCTGTTCGGTCAAGCTGAAGATCACGACATCATCAATATAGCACGCCCGTGTTCTATTCCCCGCAGCACCGCGTCCATGACTCTCTGAAACACCGCCGAGGCGTTCCTCAGACCGAAGGGCATGTAAAGCCACTCGTACAGCCCATCCGGTCCGTGGAAAGCCGTTTTCTTCACATCCTCCTCTCTGATCTTGATTTGATTGAACCTCTGTCGCATGTCCAGCGTCGTGAAGAACACCCCATTAGCCAGCTTGTCAAAGAGCTCTTCTGCCATCGGCATTGGGTATCTATCTGGCACTGTAATTTTGTTGAGATCCCTGTAGTCCCCGCACATCCTCCTACTCAGCACCTCGCCTGTCAAGTCCTTCCTGGCTGCCACCACGGTTGGGGTAGCGTATTCTGATTCTGACCTCCTGATCAGTCCGGCTTCCAGTAGCTCCTTTATCTTCTCCCTGCAGATCACTTCATCCCCTGGTGGCATCTTCCTCCTGCGGTGGAACACCGGCTCATCACTACTCAATTTCAGCGCCATCTCTTTGATCTTGCACTTCCCCAACTCCAGCAGTGTGAAGGCGAAGCCCTTCCGATGCCTTGCCAGCAGTGCCCGCATCACTGCCTTCCCTTCTTCGCTCATGCTCTCACCTATCTTCCACTCTGGCTCCTGTTTCTGCACGCAGGCCCACACCCCTTGCCTCACCATCGCCACTGTGTTTTCTCCCTCCTTCAGTCCCCAGTGCAGCACTGTCTCCTTCCACATCCGCTGCACCAACCACCTCATCATGTACCCATCCATGGCATTCCCCAATGCCCGTCTCCGTTCCTTCTCGCTCACGCCTGGGGCTGCTGTAGCGTTCTCCTTGTATCCCATGGCCAACTCCCTCTCCAAGGCCGTGGGCTCTTCCCACTGTCCCTTCCTGTGGTCATGCACCAATCCTGGGCCTGGCTGCTTCCCATCCATCTGATAGCCTGCTGCCCCCTCATATGACACCAGGGTAGGCAGTGCCTGCCTTTCCTGTCCCACCTGGTTGCAGGGATAATGCCTGCTGTAGCCCTTCTTGGTCACTGGTGCTGGCGTTCTTCCTGGCTCCAATATGTCGCTCAGCTTCCGTCCCCCAGCTCTCTGCACCCCTTCTATTTCCTTCTGCAGGTCTTCTACTGGTACCACATTCTGCCAGTACATCCTGAGCCTGTGCGCATATGCTCCCATCCGCGCCGCATCACTGCTCACTCCTTTCCCCACCTGTCTGGTCACTCTCTCCCTTACTAGTCTTATCGGTTCTCTCACGTCTCCCTCCATATCCAAGTGCTCCAGCAGGTAAGCCACTCTGCCTTGCCTCGCCTGCACCCACTCCATGACTCTGAACAGATCCTCCATCAGTTGTGTTCGTAGGTCTTGCTCACCCTTGCCCTTCCCTGCCCATGATACCCCTTGGCATTCCCACCCTGCCACCAACAGGTCCACGTGCCCCCAGCTTGCTACCTCAGCTTCCGTAATGGCCCTTACATCGTTCACTCCTCTGCTCATTGCTGCCTTGATCACCTCTCCCTGAAGCAGCTCCGGGAACTCTCTGTGCAACTCCCACGCCTGATGCTCCACTATTTTCCTCACTTCTGGTGCTTTCTCCACGTAAATCCACTGCTTCACTGCAATTCCATTTCGCAACACTGCTGCCAGTCCCGCCCCGATTCCTCCGAACAGCTCCACCAGCCGAATGGGTTGCTGCCAATCGGTCTGCTGGCTAGGTTCGTCCATGAAACGCATCCTGGGCTCCCCACCTTGTCCCTTGCCTGTTGCGGCCTTCTGTGCCCCCTGCTTCGCTGTCACCTCCTTCAGATCTGCCCTGTAGGCCCTTTTTGGCTCGGTCCTGACAAACTGCACCGGCAGCTGCCCCAGTGGCTCACCCTTCCTCCACCACCTGGTTCTGAACTCCAGTGTCTCCTTCCAGAAGCAGATGGTCATGCCCAATGCAAAGATCATCTCTGTGCCCACCAGGACGTCAAAATCTTCTGACTCTGAGATCCCGCACCTGATTCTAACCGGCGTCTCATGCTTCTCCCCCTTCAGCACCAACAGTTCTATTGGAGTCCTCGTACAAGGCATCCACTTCGACTCTCCCCCCTCTGCTGTCATCACTAGCATCCCCTTCACCACATGCCTGTCAGATGCCCACAGTCCCAGCTTCTCGGCCATTCCCTTTCCGAGTATCACGCTCTGCGCTCCAGTGTCTATAATAGCCGTCTTAGCCTTCTCCCCTTCCACTGACAGTGCACCACCTTGGATCAGCAGCACGGAAGTCTGGCAAGCCAACCTCTCGTGGGGGTGCCGTGCTGCTATGCATCTCTCCTCCTTTTCCTCCGGCTTCTGTCCTCTCTCCCGCTCCTTTCTCAGCTGCTCCTTCCGTGCATCCTTTCCTCCGCTGCGCAACCCCATCTCCTCCCTTCCTCGCCATGCCATGTATGCTGGTTGCTCCTCATGCTCCATCTCATTCTCTCCTCTTCCCGCCCAGACCATGAACGCGGCTTCCTCATCCTGCTCCACATCTTCTTCCTCCTCTTCCTTGGCGTACATCCCCGCCTCTGCTTCCCGTCGTGGTCCCATTGCCTGCAGCTGGGCCTGCAGCCTGCTGATTTGCTTCTCCAGATCTTCTGGTGACTTCTTCGCTGCTCCCTCTCGCTGATAACACTCCTTTGCTGCATGCCCTCCTTTCCCACAGACTTCACACTTCGGTGCCGTTGGACATTCCCGCCGCCGATGCCCTGGCTTGCCACAGAAGTCACAGTTCTTGCAGTCTCGGCGCAAGTGTCCTGGCTGCCCGCATCTGTGGCATGTTCGTGTGTCAGGCCTGGTCTCCCCTCTTCCCGCTGCCCTGTCCTTCTCCTCCGGTATCATGGCCGCAGCCCATGTAGGCCCCCTGCCTCGCTCCGCCTGTCTGGGCCTGTATGCTTCATATTTCCTCTGCGCCAGCTCCATCTTCTCTGCCAGTTCAAACACCTCTTCAAGCGTTGTGTCGGCCCCCATCTCATACACCTTCATCCGCAGTCCGCTTCCCAAAGTGCCCTCCAGCCCATCCAGGAATTTACTCACGAGCAGGGCCATGTCTGCGCAAGTCACATCCTCTGCCAGGTTGACCAGCCGGTTATAGTAGGTGAGTAGTGACTCGCCCCGCCCCTTCCTGAAATCTTAGAATTCCCTGATCTTCTCTGCGGTGTGACCTGGAAACTGCCGTTTCAGCCGCCTCAGGAATGCTTCAGTAGGGTCTTCCCCGTACCTTCCTGCCCTTTCCAGTAGCTCATCCATCTTCATCCTGTACAATGTTTCCGCCTCCCCTTCCAATGTGTTTGGCAGACTCAGGAAAAAGTCCACCGAGTCCATGCCGCTCCTTTCGCATCTGTACCGCACGTTGCCCACCTGCATCAGGTAGTTCTTCAGCGTGGGGCCCGTGCGCTGATCTCCTGAGAAGCGTGCTGGCACTTCCACTCTCGTGGCCATTACCGTGCTTCCCTTGCCTTCTCCCCACGCCTCGCTCGGCCCTCCTGCTGATCTCCCTGATGCTCCTCTCTCTCTTGCCCGCAGTATTCCTTCTCTCGCCTCTCTAGCCCGTTCTAGGCTGTGCATCAGCCCGCTGCCTTCCTCTCTGCTGTTGCGTTGATCCCGTCCTCCCTCACTGGTACGTCTTCCGTCATGCTGCCAGTACCGATCAGGTGAGTGATACCCTCCGCCGCGCCCCTCATCCCTGCTCTGTTGCCGAAGCTGCGAGCCGTATCCGCCTCCCCGGCTTTCTTCATGTTGCCTGTGCCAGTCGGGCGAGCGCGTCTCGCTTCCCCACCTCTCTCCATGATACCGTTGCAGATCAGGCGAGCGGTAGTCGCCTCCGCGTCTCTCATCACGAGGGTAACGAGGACCTGGAGAGCGCACACTTCCCCCCCGCTTCTCCAGTTGTGATACCTCCGCGGATCTGGTGAGCGCACACTTCCCCCACGTCCACTGTCCTGGTGCCGCCGTAGCTCTGGCGAGCGGTAGCCGCCTCTGCGCCTTTCTTCCTGCAGCTGCTGCCGTCCTGGCGAGCGGTAGCCGCTTCCGTGCCTCCCGTCCTCGTGCGGGAGACGTGGATCTGGCGAGCGCGCGCCGCCACCGCGTTCCCCGTCACGATTCTGCCGCCGATCTGGCGAGCGCATACCGCCGCCACGCCCCCCCTCCCGATACATCCGTGGATCTGGCGAGCGCGTGCCTCCGTCGCGTCCCCCATCACGATTCAGCCGAGGCTCTGGCGAGCGCGCACCGCCGCCGCGTCCTCCGTCCCGATTCAGGCGCGGATCAGGCGAACGCGCGCCGCCGCCACGTCCCTCGTCACGCTGCTGACGCGGATCTGGAGAGCGCGCGCCACTGCCACGCCCCCCGCCGTCACCTCTCTCCGTCGCGCGGCAGGTCTCGAGTACCGCCCTTTCCTTCCGCCTCCGCCGTGCTCGGCTCCGCCGCCACGCCCGCCTGCGCGGGATCGTCGTCATCAACTTCAGCGGGCATCACGCGCTGCTCGCCTGCACCTTCCTCCTGGGGTTCGTCATCGCCCTTGGTCTCGCCTTCACGATTCGTCTCCCGCACTCGATTCGCCGAGTCGGCCTCGTCTTCTCCATCCACATCAAGATCGCCTTGGCGACCCGAGAAGAGCTCCTCCAGACCTCGCCCGCGACTTCTCTCTTCGCGACGGCGATAGCCTTCCTCCGGCGAGCGGTATGCTCCCGTGTCCTGGCGGTACCCACGACCGCCATCCGCTCCGTGACGCCCGTCCGTCCGCCACGGGTCACTCCCCGTCGTGACGGATCCAGATCCGCCTCTTCCTTCTCGGGCGGATCCTCCCTCCTGGCGATCTGGCGCGAGAGGGACCTGATCCGCGCGAAAGGCCGGCCTCCGCGGCGATCGCTCAGGCCGCCACGGCGACCTCTCCAGCGAGCGCCCGCGCTCACGTGAGCGTTCGCGCCGCGAGCGATCCGCCTCACGGCGACCATAATTCCTGCCGTAACGCATCTCGTACACATCCATGCTTGTACGCGCACCTTTCTGTTTGTTATGAAAGCGACAGAACTCTCACCTCAAAGGTCCTCCTTGAGTGGTGTGCCACCCGCCTGCTCTGGTAAGGTAACAACAGTCCACTATACGAAAGGATAACAAACAGAAAGCATCAGAGGTTTGTGTGAGAGTGAACTTACCTGACCCTGGCTCGAACCGTGCATTTCTCAATGTGCGGCTCGAGCCTGGGTTGGTTCGTTCTCATTGGTTGCAAGGATTTCACCCAAGGTGCTCTCCTACCAACTTCGCGTCAATTTCCCAGCTCCCACCTACCTATCCTCGAATTTACAAACACAACATAGCTACACCTCCACTACACCACCATGATACTGGCACCTTATATACACAACCGTGCATATTCGGTGACAGAGGTCATGCACCCTCGGCCGCGCTTCAATGGCCCTCGGCCGAGGTCGAGCACCCTCGGCCGGGCCTCAATGGCCCTCGGCCGAGGTCGAGCACCCTCGGCCGGGCCTCAATGGCCCTCGGCCGAGGTCGAGCACCCTCGGCCGGGCCTCAATGGCCCTCGGCCGAGGTCGAGCACCCTCGGCCGGGCCTGAATGGCCCTCGGCCGAGGTCAAGCACCCTCGGCCGGGCCTCAATGGCCCTCGGCCGAGGTCAAGCACCCTCGGCCGCGCTTGAAAGGCCCTCGGCCGAGGTCAAGCACCCTCGGCCGCGCTTGAAAGGCCCTCGGCCGAGGTCAAGCACCCTCGGCCGGGCCTCAATGGCCCTCGGCCGAGGTCAAGCACCCTCGGCCGCGCTTGAAAGGCCCTCGGCCGAGGTCAAGCACCCTCGGCCGCACTTGAAAGGCCCTCGGCCGAGGTCAAGCACCCTCGGCCGGGCTTCATTGGCCCTCGGCCGAGGTCAAGCACCCTCGGCCGGGCTTGAATGGCCCTCGGCCGAGGCCATGCACCCTCGGCCGGGCTTGAATGGCCCTTCGCCGAGGCCATGCACCCTCGGCCGCGCTTCAAAGGCCCTCGGCCGAGGTCATGCACCCTCGGCCGCGCTTCAATGGCCCTCGGCCGAGGTCAAGCACCCCCCGCCGGGCTTCAATGGCCCTCGGCCGAGGTCAAGAAGCCTCGGCCGGGCCTCAATGGCCCTCGGCCGAGGTCAAGCCCCCTCGGCCGGGCCTCAATGGCCCTCGGCCGAGGTCAAGCCCCCTCGGCCGGGCCTCAATGGCCCTCGGCCGAGGTCAAGCCCCCTCGGCCGGGCCTCAATGGCCCTCGGCCGAGGTCAAGCCCCCTCGGCCGGGCCTCAATGGCCCTCGGCCGAGGTCAAGCCCCCTCGGCCGGGCCTCAATGGCCCTCGGCCGAGGTCAAGCCCCCTCGGCCGGGCCTCAATGACCCTCGGCCGAGGTCATGCACCCTCGGCCGCGCTTGAAAGGCCCTCGGCCGAGGTCAAGCACCCTCGGCCGCGCTTGAAAGGCCCTCGGCCGAGGTCAAGCACCCTCGGCCGCGCTTAAATGTGTTATGTGATGCTATCATTTGCATTCACGTCTGTCTGCCTCCCATCACATGTTCGTGCGTTGCATGCGTGGTGTGAGCATGTGCAAGAATTTGTGTTTGGTGTGGTTTGGATTTTCTGAGGGTGTGTGAATGTTATTTGGCTTGAGCAGATATCTGAAGTGACTCCTCTGCTCAAGAGCTTTCCGACGAACCAAGTATCGCTTCAATCAGAGCACGAAGAAGAAAGTTACGAACATTTGAAGTTCATATGCTTTTGATATTTTGTTGTGGTGACTATGGGAAGTTGTGGGGTTGACTCCATAAGGGGTATAGACTCTTGGGGGTTGGGAAATTCGTCCCCATCACTGTAGATGCTGCCAAGTGGTTGGGAGAAACCAAATTGGGTTGGCAAGTGTGGCCAACTTGGGTGAGGTGGATTGTGGAGGTTGGGAAATTGACAAAGGTCAAAGTTGGGTTACCTATGGGGAGGGAAATTGTGTGGCATGGGGTTTCCTTGGTTGGGGACTCTCTTGGGACCTTCCTTCTCGTCCTCCTCATCCCCTCCCACCTGGTTTAGTGCTACTCCAACTTCCTTGTGTAGTAATTGTGAGACTCTTGTGATTGAGTTAAGATTCTATGGCAGCATACCCCCCTGTGCGCCGAAATTGATAACTCAAGAAATACTTCACCTTTCCGTACGATTCAACTTGGGAATTGTAGCCACGGACTAGAGCTACAACATATCTGAAATGCGTTTTTCGTCGACGCTGTTTCTTGTGAGCGCAACGATTCTGTCCAGAATTCTAGGCCAACAATTTTGAGAAAGTTAGGCCCATAATCCTCATAGACTCCGTCCTTAGTCTATAACAAAAAGGCCCTCGGCCGAGGTCCAGCACCCTCGGCCGGGCATCAACGGCGCTCGGCCGAGGCCGAGCCCCCTCGGCCGCGCCTCAACGGCGCTCGGCCGAGGCCGAGCCCCCTCGGCCGCGCCTCAACGGCGCTCGGCCGAGGCCGAGCCCCCTCGGCCGCGCCTCAAGGGCGCTCGGCCGAGGCCGAGCCCCCTCGGCCGCGCCTCAAGGGCGCTCGGCCGAGGCCGAGCCCCCTCGGCCGCGCCTCAAGGGCGCTCGGCCGAGGCCGAGCCCCCTCGGCCGCGCCTCAAGGGCGCTCGGCCGAGGCCGAGCCCCCTCGGCCGCGCCTCAAGGGCGCTCGGCCGAGGCCGAGCCCCCTCGGCCGCGCCTCAAGGGCGCTCGGCCGAGGCCGAGCCCCCTCGGCCGCGCCTCAAGGGCGCTCGGCCGAGGCCGAGCCCCCTCGGCCGCGCCTCAAGGGCGCTCGGCCGAGGCCGAGCCCCCTCGGCCGCGCCTCAAGGGCGCTCGGCCGAGGCCGAGCCCCCTCGGCCGCGCCTCAAGGGCGCTCGGCCGAGGCCGAGCCCCCTCGGCCGCGCCTCAAGGGCGCTCGGCCGAGGCCGAGCCCCCTCGGCCGCGCCTCAAGGGCGCTCGGCCGAGGCCGAGCCCCCTCGGCCGCGCCTCAAGGGCGCTCGGCCGAGGCCGAGCCCCCTCGGCCGCGCCTCAAGGGCGCTCGGCCGAGGCCGAGCCCCCTCGGCCGCGCCTCAAGGGCGCTCGGCCGAGGCCGAGCCCCCTCGGCCGCGCCTCAAGGGCGCTCGGCCGAGGCCGAGCCCCCTCGGCCGCGCCTCAAGGGCGCTCGGCCGAGGCCGAGCCCCCTCGGCCGCGCCTCAAGGGCGCTCGGCCGAGGCCGAGCCCCCTCGGCCGCGCCTCAAGGGCGCTCGGCCGAGGCCGAGCCCCCTCGGCCGCGCCTCAAGGGCGCTCGGCCGAGGCCGAGCCCCCTCGGCCGCGCCTCAAGGGCGCTCGGCCGAGGCCGAGCCCCCTCGGCCGCGCCTCAAGGGCGCTCGGCCGAGGCCGAGCCCCCTCGGCCGCGCCTCAAGGGCGCTCGGCCGAGGCCGAGCCCCCTCGGCCGCGCCTCAAGGGCGCTCGGCCGAGGCCGAGCCCCCTCGGCCGCGCCTCAAGGGCGCTCGGCCGAGGCCGAGCCCCCTCGGCCGCGCCTCAAGGGCGCTCGGCCGAGGCCGAGCCCCCTCGGCCGCGCCTCAAGGGCGCTCGGCCGAGGCCGAGCCCCCTCGGCCGCGCCTCAAGGGCGCTCGGCCGAGGCCGAGCCCCCTCGGCCGCGCCTCAAGGGCGCTCGGCCGAGGCCGAGCCCCCTCGGCCGCGCCTCAAGGGCGCTCGGCCGAGGCCGAGCCCCCTCGGCCGCGCCTCAAGGGCGCTCGGCCGAGGCCGAGCCCCCTCGGCCGCGCCTCAAGGGCGCTCGGCCGAGGCCGAGCCCCCTCGGCCGCGCCTCAAGGGCGCTCGGCCGAGGCCGAGCCCCCTCGGCCGCGCCTCAAGGGCGCTCGGCCGAGGCCGAGCCCCCTCGGCCGCGCCTCAAGGGCGCTCGGCCGAGGCCGAGCCCCCTCGGCCGCGCCTCAAGGGCGCTCGGCCGAGGCCGAGCCCCCTCGGCCGCGCCTCAAGGGCGCTCGGCCGAGGCCGAGCCCCCTCGGCCGCGCCTCAAGGGCGCTCGGCCGAGGCCGAGCCCCCTCGGCCGCGCCTCAAGGGCGCTCGGCCGAGGCCGAGCCCCCTCGGCCGCGCCTCAAGGGCGCTCGGCCGAGGCCGAGCCCCCTCGGCCGCGCCTCAAGGGCGCTCGGCCGAGGCCGAGCCCCCTCGGCCGCGCCTCAAGGGCGCTCGGCCGAGGCCGAGCCCCCTCGGCCGCGCCTCAAGGGCGCTCGGCCGAGGCCGAGCCCCCTCGGCCGCGCCTCAAGGGCGCTCGGCCGAGGCCGAGCCCCCTCGGCCGCGCCTCAAGGGCGCTCGGCCGAGGCCGAGCCCCCTCGGCCGCGCCTCAAGGGCGCTCGGCCGAGGCCGAGCCCCCTCGGCCGCGCCTCAAGGGCGCTCGGCCGAGGCCGAGCCCCCTCGGCCGCGCCTCAAGGGCGCTCGGCCGAGGCCGAGCCCCCTCGGCCGCGCCTCAAGGGCGCTCGGCCGAGGCCGAGCCCCCTCGGCCGCGCCTCAAGGGCGCTCGGCCGAGGCCGAGCCCCCTCGGCCGCGCCTCAAGGGCGCTCGGCCGAGGCCGAGCCCCCTCGGCCGCGCCTCAAGGGCGCTCGGCCGAGGCCGAGCCCCCTCGGCCGCGCCTCAAGGGCGCTCGGCCGAGGCCGAGCCCCCTCGGCCGCGCCTCAAGGGCGCTCGGCCGAGGCCGAGCCCCCTCGGCCGCGCCTCAAGGGCGCTCGGCCGAGGCCGAGCCCCCTCGGCCGCGCCTCAAGGGCGCTCGGCCGAGGCCGAGCCCCCTCGGCCGCGCCTCAAGGGCGCTCGGCCGAGGCCGAGCCCCCTCGGCCGCGCCTCAAGGGCGCTCGGCCGAGGCCGAGCCCCCTCGGCCGCGCCTCAAGGGCGCTCGGCCGAGGCCGAGCCCCCTCGGCCGCGCCTCAAGGGCGCTCGGCCGAGGCCGAGCCCCCTCGGCCGCGCCTCAAGGGCGCTCGGCCGAGGCCGAGCCCCCTCGGCCGCGCCTCAAGGGCGCTCGGCCGAGGCCGAGCCCCCTCGGCCGCGCCTCAAGGGCGCTCGGCCGAGGCCGAGCCCCCTCGGCCGCGCCTCAAGGGCGCTCGGCCGAGGCCGAGCCCCCTCGGCCGCGCCTCAAGGGCGCTCGGCCGAGGCCGAGCCCCCTCGGCCGCGCCTCAAGGGCGCTCGGCCGAGGCCGAGCCCCCTCGGCCGCGCCTCAAGGGCGCTCGGCCGAGGCCGAGCCCCCTCGGCCGCGCCTCAAGGGCGCTCGGCCGAGGCCGAGCCCCCTCGGCCGCGCCTCAAGGGCGCTCGGCCGAGGCCGAGCCCCCTCGGCCGCGCCTCAAGGGCGCTCGGCCGAGGCCGAGCCCCCTCGGCCGCGCCTCAAGGGCGCTCGGCCGAGGCCGAGCCCCCTCGGCCGCGCCTCAAGGGCGCTCGGCCGAGGCCGAGCCCCCTCGGCCGCGCCTCAAGGGCGCTCGGCCGAGGCCGAGCCCCCTCGGCCGCGCCTCAAGGGCGCTCGGCCGAGGCCGAGCCCCCTCGGCCGCGCCTCAAGGGCGCTCGGCCGAGGCCGAGCCCCCTCGGCCGCGCCTCAAGGGCGCTCGGCCGAGGCCCAGCCCCCTCGGCCGCGCCTCAAGGGCGCTCGGCCGAGGCCGAGCCCCCTCGGCCGCGCCTCAAGGGCGCTCGGCCGAGGCCGAGCCCCCTCGGCCGCGCCTCAAGGGCGCTCGGCCGAGGCCGAGCCCCCTCGGCCGCGCCTCAAGGGCGCTCGGCCGAGGCCCAGCCCCCTCGGCCGCGCCTCAAGGGCGCTCGGCCGAGGCCGAGCCCCCTCGGCCGCGCCTCAAGGGCGCTCGGCCGAGGCCGAGCCCCCTCGGCCGCGCCTCAAGGGCGCTCGGCCGAGGCCGAGCCCCCTCGGCCGCGCCTCAAGGGCGCTCGGCCGAGGCCGAGCCCCCTCGGCCGCGCCTCAAGGGCGCTCGGCCGAGGCCCAGCCCCCTCGGCCGCGCCTCAAGGGCGCTCGGCCGAGGCCGAGCCCCCTCGGCCGCGCCTCAAGGGCGCTCGGCCGAGGCCGAGCCCCCTCGGCCGCGCCTCAAGGGCGCTCGGCCGAGGCCCAGCCCCCTCGGCCGCGCCTCAAGGGCGCTCGGCCGAGGCCCAGCCCCCTCGGCCGCGCCTCAAGGGCGCTCGGCCGAGGCCGAGCCCCCTCGGCCGCGCCTCAAGGGCGCTCGGCCGAGGCCGAGCCCCCTCGGCCGCGCCTCAAGGGCGCTCGGCCGAGGCCGAGCCCCCTCGGCCGCGCCTCAAGGGCGCTCGGCCGAGGCCCAGCCCCCTCGGCCGCGCCTCAAGGGCGCTCGGCCGAGGCCGAGCCCCCTCGGCCGCGCCTCAAGGGCGCTCGGCCGAGGCCCAGCCCCCTCGGCCGCGCCTCAAGGGCGCTCGGCCGAGGCCCAGCCCCCTCGGCCGCGCCTCAAGGGCGCTCGGCCGAGGCCGAGCCCCCTCGGCCGCGCCTCAAGGGCGCTCGGCCGAGGCCCAGCCCCCTCGGCCGCGCCTCAAGGGCGCTCGGCCGAGGCCCAGCCCCCTCGGCCGCGCCTCAAGGGCGCTCGGCCGAGGCCCAGCCCCCTCGGCCGCGCCTCAAGGGCGCTCGGCCGAGGCCCAGCCCCCTCGGCCGCGCCTCAAGGGCGCTCGGCCGAGGCCGAGCCCCCTCGGCCGCGCCTCAAGGGCGCTCGGCCGAGGCCCAGCCCCCTCGGCCGCGCCTCAAGGGCGCTCGGCCGAGGCCCAGCCCCCTCGGCCGCGCCTCAAGGGCGCTCGGCCGAGGCCCAGCCCCCTCGGCCGAGGCCCAGCCCCCTCGGCCGCGCCTCAACGGCGCTCGGCCGAGGCCCAGCCCCCTCGGCCGCGCCTCAACGGCGCTCGGCCGCGCCTCAACGGCGCTCGGCCGAGGCCCAGCCCCCTCGGCCGCGCCTCAACGGCGCTCGGCCGCGCCTCAACGGCGCTCGGCCGAGGCCCAGCCCCCTCGGCCGCGCCTCAACGGCGCTCGGCCGCGCCTCAACGGCGCTCGGCCGAGGCCGAGCCCCCTCGGCCGCGCCTCAACGGCGCTCGGCCGCGCCTCAACGGCGCTCGGCCGCGCCTCAACGGCGCTCGGCCGCGCCTCAACGGCGCTCGGCCGCGCCTCAACGGCGCTCGGCCGAGGCCGAGCCCCCTCGGCCGCGCCTCAACGGCGCTCGGCCGCGCCTCAACGGCGCTCGGCCGAGGCCGAGCCCCCTCGGCCGCGCCTCAACGGCGCTCGGCCGAGGCCGAGCCCCCTCGGCCGCGCCTCAACGGCGCTCGGCCGAGGCCGAGCCCCCTCGGCCGCGCCTCAACGGCGCTCGGCCGAGGCCCAGCCCCCTCGGCCGCGCCTCAACGGCGCTCGGCCGAGGCCCAGCCCCCTCGGCCGCGCCTCAACGGCGCTCGGCCGAGGCCCAGCCCCCTCGGCCGCGCCTCAACGGCGCTCGGCCGAGGCCCAGCCCCCTCGGCCGCGCCTCAACGGCGCTCGGCCGAGGCCCAGCCCCCTCGGCCGCGCCTCAACGGCGCTCGGCCGAGGCCGAGCCCCCTCGGCCGCGCCTCAACGGCGCTCGGCCGAGGCCGAGCCCCCTCGGCCGCGCCTCAACGGCGCTCGGCCGAGGCCGAGCCCCCTCGGCCGCGCCTCAACGGCGCTCGGCCGAGGCCGAGCCCCCTCGGCCGCGCCTCAACGGCGCTCGGCCGAGGCCGAGCCCCCTCGGCCGCGCCTCAACGGCGCTCGGCCGAGGCCGAGCCCCCTCGGCCGCGCCTCAACGGCGCTCGGCCGAGGCCGAGCCCCCTCGGCCGCGCCTCAACGGCGCTCGGCCGAGGCCGAGCCCCCTCGGCCGCGCCTCAACGGCGCTCGGCCGAGGCCGAGCCCCCTCGGCCGCGCCTCAACGGCGCTCGGCCGAGGCCGAGCCCCCTCGGCCGCGCCTCAACGGCGCTCGGCCGAGGCCGAGCCCCCTCGGCCGCGCCTCAACGGCGCTCGGCCGAGGCCGAGCCCCCTCGGCCGCGCCTCAACGGCGCTCGGCCGAGGCCGAGCCCCCTCGGCCGCGCCTCAACGGCGCTCGGCCGAGGCCGAGCCCCCTCGGCCGCGCCTCAACGGCGCTCGGCCGAGGCCGAGCCCCCTCGGCCGCGCCTCAACGGCGCTCGGCCGAGGCCGAGCCCCCTCGGCCGCGCCTCAACGGCGCTCGGCCGAGGCCGAGCCCCCTCGGCCGCGCCTCAACGGCGCTCGGCCGAGGCCGAGCCCCCTCGGCCGCGCCTCAACGGCGCTCGGCCGAGGCCGAGCCCCCTCGGCCGCGCCTCAACGGCGCTCGGCCGAGGCCGAGCCCCCTCGGCCGCGCCTCAACGGCGCTCGGCCGAGGCCGAGCCCCCTCGGCCGCGCCTCAACGGCGCTCGGCCGAGGCCGAGCCCCCTCGGCCGCGCCTCAACGGCGCTCGGCCGAGGCCGAGCCCCCTCGGCCGCGCCTCAACGGCGCTCGGCCGAGGCCGAGCCCCCTCGGCCGCGCCTCAACGGCGCTCGGCCGAGGCCGAGCCCCCTCGGCCGCGCCTCAACGGCGCTCGGCCGAGGCCGAGCCCCCTCGGCCGCGCCTCAACGGCGCTCGGCCGAGGCCGAGCCCCCTCGGCCGCGCCTCAACGGCGCTCGGCCGAGGCCGAGCCCCCTCGGCCGCGCCTCAACGGCGCTCGGCCGAGGCCGAGCCCCCTCGGCCGCGCCTCAACGGCGCTCGGCCGAGGCCGAGCCCCCTCGGCCGCGCCTCAACGGCGCTCGGCCGAGGCCGAGCCCCCTCGGCCGCGCCTCAACGGCGCTCGGCCGAGGCCGAGCCCCCTCGGCCGCGCCTCAACGGCGCTCGGCCGAGGCCGAGCCCCCTCGGCCGCGCCTCAACGGCGCTCGGCCGAGGCCGAGCCCCCTCGGCCGCGCCTCAACGGCGCTCGGCCGAGGCCGAGCCCCCTCGGCCGCGCCTCAACGGCGCTCGGCCGAGGCCGAGCCCCCTCGGCCGCGCCTCAACGGCGCTCGGCCGAGGCCGAGCCCCCTCGGCCGCGCCTCAACGGCGCTCGGCCGAGGCCGAGCCCCCTCGGCCGCGCCTCAACGGCGCTCGGCCGAGGCCGAGCCCCCTCGGCCGCGCCTCAACGGCGCTCGGCCGAGGCCCAGCCCCCTCGGCCGCGCCTCAACGGCGCTCGGCCGAGGCCCAGCCCCCTCGGCCGCGCCTCAACGGCGCTCGGCCGAGGCCCAGCCCCCTCGGCCGCGCCGCAACGGCGCTCGGCCGAGGCCCAGCCCCCTCGGCCGCGCCTCAACGGCGCTCGGCCGAGGCCCAGCCCCCTCGGCCGCGCCGCAACGGCGCTCGGCCGAGGCCCAGCCCCCTCGGCCGCGCCGCAACGGCGCTCGGCCGAGGCCCAGCCCCCTCGGCCGCGCCGCAACGGCGCTCGGCCGAGGCCCAGCCCCCTCGGCCGCGCCGCAACGGCGCTCGGCCGAGGCCCAGCCCCCTCGGCCGCGCCGCAACGGCGCTCGGCCGAGGCCCAGCCCCCTCGGCCGCGCCGCAACGGCGCTCGGCCGAGGCCCAGCCCCCTCGGCCGCGCCGCAACGGCGCTCGGCCGAGGCCCAGCCCCCTCGGCCGCGCCGCAACGGCGCTCGGCCGAGGCCCAGCCCCCTCGGCCGCGCCGCAACGGCGCTCGGCCGAGGCCCAGCCCCCTCGGCCGCGCCGCAACGGCGCTCGGCCGAGGCCCAGCCCCCTCGGCCGCGCCGCAACGGCGCTCGGCCGAGGCCCAGCCCCCTCGGCCGCGCCGCAACGGCGCTCGGCCGAGGCCCAGCCCCCTCGGCCGCGCCGCAACGGCGCTCGGCCGAGGCCCAGCCCCCTCGGCCGCGCCGCAACGGCGCTCGGCCGAGGCCCAGCCCCCTCGGCCGCGCCGCAACGGCGCTCGGCCGAGGCCCAGCCCCCTCGGCCGCGCCGCAACGGCGCTCGGCCGAGGCCCAGCCCCCTCGGCCGCGCCGCAACGGCGCTCGGCCGAGGCCCAGCCCCCTCGGCCGCGCCGCAACGGCGCTCGGCCGAGGCCCAGCCCCCTCGGCCGCGCCGCAACGGCGCTCGGCCGAGGCCCAGCCCCCTCGGCCGCGCCGCAACGGCGCTCGGCCGAGGCCCAGCCCCCTCGGCCGCGCCGCAACGGCGCTCGGCCGAGGCCCAGCCCCCTCGGCCGCGCCGCAACGGCGCTCGGCCGAGGCCCAGCCCCCTCGGCCGCGCCGCAACGGCGCTCGGCCGAGGCCCAGCCCCCTCGGCCGCGCCGCAACGGCGCTCGGCCGAGGCCCAGCCCCCTCGGCCGCGCCGCAACGGCGCTCGGCCGAGGCCCAGCCCCCTCGGCCGCGCCGCAACGGCGCTCGGCCGAGGCCCAGCCCCCTCGGCCGCGCCGCAACGGCGCTCGGCCGAGGCCCAGCCCCCTCGGCCGCGCCGCAACGGCGCTCGGCCGAGGCCCAGCCCCCTCGGCCGCGCCGCAACGGCGCTCGGCCGAGGCCCAGCCCCCTCGGCCGCGCCGCAACGGCGCTCGGCCGAGGCCCAGCCCCCTCGGCCGCGCCGCAACGGCGCTCGGCCGAGGCCCAGCCCCCTCGGCCGCGCCGCAACGGCGCTCGGCCGAGGCCCAGCCCCCTCGGCCGCGCCGCAACGGCGCTCGGCCGAGGCCCAGCCCCCTCGGCCGCGCCGCAACGGCGCTCGGCCGAGGCCCAGCCCCCTCGGCCGCGCCGCAACGGCGCTCGGCCGAGGCCCAGCCCCCTCGGCCGCGCCGCAACGGCGCTCGGCCGAGGCCCAGCCCCCTCGGCCGCGCCGCAACGGCGCTCGGCCGAGGCCCAGCCCCCTCGGCCGCGCCGCAACGGCGCTCGGCCGAGGCCCAGCCCCCTCGGCCGCGCCGCAACGGCGCTCGGCCGAGGCCCAGCCCCCTCGGCCGCGCCGCAACGGCGCTCGGCCGAGGCCCAGCCCCCTCGGCCGCGCCGCAACGGCGCTCGGCCGAGGCCCAGCCCCCTCGGCCGCGCCGCAACGGCGCTCGGCCGAGGCCCAGCCCCCTCGGCCGCGCCGCAACGGCCCTCGGCCGAGGCCCAGCACCCTCGGCCGGGCCCCAACGGCCCTCGGCCGAGGCCCAGCACCCTCGGCCGGGCCGCAACGGCCCTCGGCCGAGGCCGAGCACCCTCGGCCGGGCCGCAACGGCCCTCGGCCGAGGCCGAGCACCCTCGGCCGGGCCCCACTGGCCCTCGGCCGAGGCCGAGCACCCTCGGCCGGGCCCCACTGGCCCTCGGCCGAGGCCGAGCACCCTCGGCCGCGCCCCACTGGCCCTCGGCCGAGGTCAAGCACCCTCGGCCGCGCCTCACTGGCCCTCGGCCGAGGTCAAGCACCCTCGGCCGCGCCTCACTGGCCCTCGGCCGAGGTCCAGCACCCTCGGCCGCGCCTCACTGGCCCTCGGCCGAGGTCGAGCACCCTCGGCCGCGCCTCAATGGCCCTCGGCCGAGGTCAAGCACCCTCGGCCGCGCCTCAATGGCCCTCGGCCGAGGTCAAGCACCCTCGGCCGCGCCTCAATGGCCCTCGGCCGAGGTCAAGCACCCTCGGCCGCGCCTCAATGGCCCTCGGCCGAGGTCAAGCACCCTCGGCCGGGCCTCAATGGCCCTCGGCCGAGGCCAAGCACCCTCGGCCGCGCTTCAAAGGCCCTCGGCCGAGGCCATGCACCCTCGGCCGCGCTTCAATGGCCCTCGGCCAAGGAGGGAGAATGGGGCGGGGTGATGGAAAGCGGGGGAATGGGGCAGGGTGATTGAAAGCGAGAGAATGGGGCGGGGTGATGGAAGGAGGGAGAATGAGGGGGGGTGATGGAAGGAGGGAGAATGGGGCGGGGTGACGGAAAGCGGGAGAATAGGGCGGGGTGATGGAAAGCGGGAGAATGGGGCGGGGTGATGAAAGGCAGGAGAATGGGGCGGGGTGATGGAAAGCGGGAGAATGGGGCGGTGTGATGGAAAGCAGGAGAATGGGGCGGGGTGATGGAAAGCGAGAGAATGGGGTGGGGTGATGGAAAGCGGGAGAATGGGGAGAGGTGATGGAAAGTGATGTGCTGGGCAGTCTGGTCAGTATGCGCACCTACGATGGGCGTACCCTGGAGAGTTGGGGCGCTCAAATCGTGCAAACCACGTGGAATGAAATGGAGCCACTTGTCGGGGTTGTGGAAAATAGTATAATCTAGAGGACTAGCAAAAAAAAGGAGGCATCCAATGCAGTGGACCAATCAAAGTGATGCGCTGCGCAGTCGGGTCAGTATGCGCACCTACGATGGGCGTACCCGGTAGAGTTGGGGCGCTCAAATCGTGCAAACCACGTGGAATGAAATGGAGCCACTTGTTGTGGTTGTGGAAAATAGTATCATCTAGAGGACTAGCAAAAAAGAAGAGGCATCCAATGTGCAGTGGACCAATCAAAGTGATGCGCTGCGCAGTCGGGTCAGTATGCGCACCTACGATGGGCGTACCCCTCGGCCGAGGTCGAGCACCCTCGGCCGGGCCTCAATGGCCCTCGCTCGGCCGGGCCTCAATGGCCCTCGGCCGAGGTCGAGCACCCTCGGCCGGGCCTCAATGGCCCTCGGCCGAGGTCGAGCACCCTCGGCCGGGCCTCAATGGCCCTCGGCCGAGGTCGAGCACCCTCGGCCGGGCCTCAATGGCCCTCGGCCGAGGTCGAGCACCCTCGGCCGGGCCTCAATGGCCCTCGGCCGAGGTCGAGCACCCTCGGCCGGGCCTCAATGGCCCTCGGCCGAGGTCGAGCACCCTCGGCCGGGCCTCAATGGCCCTCGGCCGAGGTCGAGCACCCTCGGCCGGGCCTCAATGGCCCTCGGCCGAGGTCGAGCACCCTCGGCCGGGCCTCAATGGCCCTCGGCCGAGGTCGAGCACCCTCGGCCGGGCCTCAATGGCCCTCGGCCGAGGTCGAGCACCCTCGGCCGGGCCTCAATGGCCCTCGGCCGAGGTCGAGCACCCTCGGCCGGGCCTCAATGGCCCTCGGCCGAGGTCGAGCACCCTCGGCCGGGCCTCAATGGCCCTCGGCCGAGGTCGAGCACCCTCGGCCGGGCCTCAATGGCCCTCGGCCGAGGTCGAGCACCCTCGGCCGGGCCTCAATGGCCCTCGGCCGAGGTCGAGCACCCTCGGCCGGGCCTCAATGGCCCTCGGCCGAGGTCGAGCACCCTCGGCCGGGCCTCAATGGCCCTCGGCCGAGGTCGAGCACCCTCGGCCGGGCCTCAATGGCCCTCGGCCGAGGTCGAGCACCCTCGGCCGGGCCTCCATGGCCCTCGGCCGAGGTCGAGCACCCTCGGCCGAGGTCAAGCACCCTCGGCCGGGCCTCGATGGCCCTCGGCCGAGGTCAAGCACCCTCGGCCGGGCCTCGATGGCCCTCGGCCGAGGTCAAGCACCCTCGGCCGGGCCTCGATGGCCCTCGGCCGAGGTCAAGCACCCTCGGCCGGGCCTCGATGGCCCTCGGCCGAGGTCAAGCACCCTCGGCCGGGCCTCGATGGCCCTCGGCCGAGGTCAAGGACCATCGGCCGGGCCTCGATGGCCCTCGGCCGAGGTCAAGCACCCTCGGCCGGGCCTCGATGGCCCTCGGCCGAGGTCAAGCACCCTCGGCCGGGCCTCGATGGCCCTCGGCCGAGGTCAAGCACCCTCGGCCGGGCCTCGATGGCCCTCGGCCGAGGTCAAGCACCCTCGGCCGGGCCTCGATGGCCCTCGGCCGAGGTCAAGCACCCTCGGCCGGGCCTCGATGGCCCTCGGCCGAGGTCGAGCACCCTCGGCCGGGCCTCGATGGCCCTCGGCCGAGGTCGAGCACCCTCGGCCGGGCCTCGATGGCCCTCGGCCGAGGTCGAGCACCCTCGGCCGGGCCTCCATGGCCCTCGGCCGAGGTCGAGCACCCTCGGCCGGGCCTCAATGGCCCTCGGCCGAGGTCGAGCACCCTCGGCCGGGCCTCAATGGCCCTCGGCCGAGGTCGAGCACCCTCGGCCGGGCCTCAATGGCCCTCGGCCGAGGTCGAGCACCCTCGGCCGGGCCTCAATGGCCCTCGGCCGAGGTCGAGCACCCTCGGCCGGGCCTCAATGGCCCTCGGCCGAGGTCGAGCACCCTCGGCCGGGCCTCAATGGCCCTCGGCCGAGGTCGAGCACCCTCGGCCGGGCCTCAATGGCCCTCGGCCGAGGTCGAGCACCCTCGGCCGGGCCTCAATGGCCCTCGGCCGAGGTCCAGCACCCTCGGCCGAGGTCAAGCACCCTCGGCCGGGCCTCGATGGCCCTCGGCCGAGGTCAAGCACCCTCGGCCGGGCCTCGATGGCCCTCGGCCGAGGTCAAGCACCCTCGGCCGGGCCTCGATGGCCCTCGGCCGAGGTCAAGCACCCTCGGCCGGGCCTCGATGGCCCTCGGCCGAGGTCAAGCACCCTCGGCCGGGCCTCGATGGCCCTCGGCCGAGGTCAAGGACCATCGGCCGGGCCTCGATGGCCCTCGGCCGAGGTCAAGCACCCTCGGCCGGGCCTCGATGGCCCTCGGCCGAGGTCAAGCACCCTCGGCCGGGCCTCGATGGCCCTCGGCCGAGGTCAAGCACCCTCGGCCGGGCCTCGATGGCCCTCGGCCGAGGTCAAGCACCCTCGGCCGGGCCTCGATGGCCCTCGGCCGAGGTCAAGCACCCTCGGCCGGGCCTCGATGGCCCTCGGCCGAGGTCAAGCACCCTCGGCCGGGCCTCGATGGCCCTCGGCCGAGGTCAAGCACCCTCGGCCGGGCCTCGATGGCCCTCGGCCGAGGTCAAGCACCCTCGGCCGGGCCTCGATGGCCCTCGGCCGAGGTCAAGCACCCTCGGCCGGGCCTCGATGGCCCTCGGCCGAGGTCAAGCACCCTCGGCCGGGCCTCGATGGCCCTCGGCCGAGGTCAAGCACCCTCGGCCGGGCCTCGATGGCCCTCGGCCGAGGTCAAGCACCCTCGGCCCGGCCTCGATGGCCCTCGGCCGAGGTCAAGCACCCTCGGCCCGGCCTCGATGGCCCTCGGCCGAGGTCAAGCACCCTCGGCCGGGCCTCCATGGCCCTCGGCCGAGGTCAAGCACCCTCGGCCGGGCCTCGATGGCCCTCGGCCGAGGTCAAGCACCCTCGGCCGGGCCTCGATGGCCCTCGGCCGAGGTCAAGCACCCTCGGCCGGGCCTCGATGGCCCTCGGCCGAGGTCAAGCACCCTCGGCCGGGCCTCGATGGCCCTCGGCCGAGGTCAAGCACCCTCGGCCGGGCCTCGATGGCCCTCGGCCGAGGTCAAGCACCCTCGGCCGGGCCTCCATGGCCCTCGGCCGAGGTCAAGCACCCTCGGCCCGGCCTCGATGGCCCTCGGCCGAGGTCAAGCACCCTCGGCCGGGCCTCGATGGCCCTCGGCCGAGGTCAAGGACCATCGGCCGGGCCTCCATGGCCCTCGGCCGAGGTCAAGCACCCTCGGCCGGGCCTCGATGGCCCTCGGCCGAGGTCAAGCACCCTCGGCCGGGCCTCGATGGCCCTCGGCCGAGGTCAAGCACCCTCGGCCGGGCCTCGATGGCCCTCGGCCGAGGTCAAGCACCCTCGGCCGGGCCTCGATGGCCCTCGGCCGAGGTCAAGCACCCTCGGCCGGGCCTCGATGGCCCTCGGCCGAGGTCAAGGACCATCGGCCGGGCCTCGATGGCCCTCGGCCGAGGTCAAGCACCCTCGGCCGGGCCTCGATGGCCCTCGGCCGAGGTCAAGCACCCTCGGCCGGGCCTCGATGGCCCTCGGCCGAGGTCAAGCACCCTCGGCCGGGCCTCGATGGCCCTCGGCCGAGGTCAAGCACCCTCGGCCGGGCCTCGATGGCCCTCGGCCGAGGTCAAGCACCCTCGGCCGGGCCTCGATGGCCCTCGGCCGAGGTCAAGCACCCTCGGCCGGGCCTCGATGGCCCTCGGCCGAGGTCAAGCACCCTCGGCCGGGCCTCGATGGCCCTCGGCCGAGGTCAAGCACCCTCGGCCGGGCCTCGATGGCCCTCGGCCGAGGTCAAGCACCCTCGGCCGGGCCTCGATGGCCCTCGGCCGAGGTCAAGCACCCTCGGCCGGGCCTCGATGGCCCTCGGCCGAGGTCAAGCACCCTCGGCCGGGCCTCGATGGCCCTCGGCCGAGGTCAAGCACCCTCGGCCCGGCCTCGATGGCCCTCGGCCGAGGTCAAGCACCCTCGGCCCGGCCTCGATGGCCCTCGGCCGAGGTCAAGCACCCTCGGCCGGGCCTCCATGGCCCTCGGCCGAGGTCAAGCACCCTCGGCCGGGCCTCGATGGCCCTCGGCCGAGGTCAAGCACCCTCGGCCGGGCCTCGATGGCCCTCGGCCGAGGTCAAGCACCCTCGGCCGGGCCTCGATGGCCCTCGGCCGAGGTCAAGCACCCTCGGCCGGGCCTCGATGGCCCTCGGCCGAGGTCAAGCACCCTCGGCCGGGCCTCGATGGCCCTCGGCCGAGGTCAAGCACCCTCGGCCGGGCCTCCATGGCCCTCGGCCGAGGTCAAGCACCCTCGGCCCGGCCTCGATGGCCCTCGGCCGAGGTCAAGCACCCTCGGCCGGGCCTCGATGGCCCTCGGCCGAGGTCAAGGACCATCGGCCGGGCCTCCATGGCCCTCGGCCGAGGTCAAGCACCCTCGGCCGGGCCTCGATGGCCCTCGGCCGAGGTCAAGCACCCTCGGCCGGGCCTCGATGGCCCTCGGCCGAGGTCAAGCACCCTCGGCCGGGCCTCGATGGCCCTCGGCCGAGGTCAAGCACCCTCGGCCGGGCCTCGATGGCCCTCGGCCGAGGTCAAGCACCCTCGGCCGGGCCTCGATGGCCCTCGGCCGAGGTCAAGCACCCTCGGCCGGGCCTCGATGGCCCTCGGCCGAGGTCAAGCACCCTCGGCCGGGCCTCGATGGCCCTCGGCCGAGGTCAAGCACCCTCGGCCGGGCCTCGATGGCCCTCGGCCGTGGTCAAGCACCCTCGGCCGGGCCTCGATGGCCCTCGGCCGAGGTCAAGCACCCTCGGCCGGGCCTCGATGGCCCTCGGCCGAGGTCAAGCACCCTCGGCCCGGCCTCGATGGCCCTCGGCCGAGGTCAAGCACCCTCGGCCCGGCCTCGATGGCCCTCGGCCGAGGTCAAGCACCCTCGGCCGGGCCTCCATGGCCCTCGGCCGAGGTCAAGCACCCTCGGCCGGGCCTCCATGGCCCTCGGCCGAGGTCAAGCACCCTCGGCCGGGCCTCGATGGCCCTCGGCCGAGGTCAAGCACCCTCGGCCGGGCCTCGATGGCCCTCGGCCGAGGTCAAGCACCCTCGGCCGGGCCTCGATGGCCCTCGGCCGAGGTCAAGCACCCTCGGCCGGGCCTCGATGGCCCTCGGCCGAGGTCAAGCACCCTCGGCCGGGCCTCGATGGCCCTCGGCCGAGGTCAAGCACCCTCGGCCGGGCCTCGATGGCCCTCGGCCGAGGTCAAGCACCCTCGGCCGGGCCTCGATGGCCCTCGGCCGAGGTCAAGCACCCTCGGCCGGGCCTCGATGGCCCTCGGCCGAGGTCAAGCACCCTCGGCCGGGCCTCGATGGCCCTCGGCCGAGGTCAAGCACCCTCGGCCGGGCCTCGATGGCCCTCGGCCGAGGTCAAGCACCCTCGGCCGGGCCTCGATGGCCCTCGGCCGAGGTCAAGCACCCTCGGCCGGGCCTCGATGGCCCTCGGCCGAGGTCAAGCACCCTCGGCCGGGCCTCGATGGCCCTCGGCCGAGGGTGGCCGAGGTCGAGCGCCCTCGGCCGGGCCTCGATGGCCCTCGGCCGAGGTCGAGCGCCCTCGGCCGGGCCTCGATGGCCCTCGGCCGAGGTCAAGCACCCTCGGCCGGGCCTCGATGGCCCTCGGCCGAGGGTGGCCGAGGTCGAGCGCCCTCGGCCGGGCCTCGATGGCCCTCGGCCGAGGTCGAGCGCCCTCGGCCGGGCCTCGATGGCCCTCGGCCGAGGTCGAGCGCCCTCGGCCGGGCCTCGATGGCCCTCGGCCGAGGTCGAGCGCCCTCGGCCGAGGTCGAGCGCCCTCGGCCGGGCCTCGATGGCCCTCGGCCGAGGTCGAGCGCCCTCGGCCGGGCCTCGATGGCCCTCGGCCGAGGTCGAGCGCCCTCGGCCGGGCCTCGATGGCCCTCGGCCGAGGTCGAGCGCCCTCGGCCGGGCCTCGATGGCCCTCGGCCGAGGTCGAGCGCCCTCGGCCGGGCCTCGATGGCCCTCGGCCGAGGTCGAGCGCCCTCGGCCGGGCCTCGATGGCCCTCGGCCGAGGTCGAGCGCCCTCGGCCGGGCCTCGATGGCCCTCGGCCGAGGTCGAGCGCCCTCGGCCGGGCCTCGATGGCCCTCGGCCGAGGTCGAGCGCCCTCGGCCGGGCCTCGATGGCCCTCGGCCGAGGTCGAGCGCCCTCGGCCGGGCCTCGATGGCCCTCGGCCGAGGTCGAGCGCCCTCGGCCCGGCCTCGATGGCCCTCGGCCGAGGTCAAGCACCCTCGGCCCGGCCTCGATGGCCCTCGGCCGAGGTCAAGCACCCTCGGCCCGGCCTCGATGGCCCTCGGCCGAGGTCAAGCACCCTCGGCCGGGCCTCGATGGCCCTCGGCCGAGGTCAAGCACCCTCGGCCGGGCCTCGATGGCCCTCGGCCGAGGTCAAGCACCCTCGGCCCGGCCTCGATGGCCCTCGGCCGAGGTCAAGCACCCTCGGCCCGGCCTCGATGGCCCTCGGCCGAGGTCAAGCACCCTCGGCCGGGCCTCGATGGCCCTCGGCCGAGGTCAAGCACCCTCGGCCGGGCCTCGATGGCCCTCGGCCGAGGTCAAGCACCCTCGGCCGGGCCTCGATGGCCCTCGGCCGAGGTCAAGCACCCTCGGCCGGGCCTCGATGGCCCTCGGCCGAGGTCAAGCACCCTCGGCCGGGCCTCGATGGCCCTCGGCCGAGGGTGGCCGAGGTCGAGCGCCCTCGGCCGGGCCTCGATGGCCCTCGGCCGAGGTCGAGCGCCCTCGGCCGGGCCTCGATGGCCCTCGGCCGAGGTCAAGCACCCTCGGCCGGGCCTCGATGGCCCTCGGCCGAGGGTGGCCGAGGTCGAGCGCCCTCGGCCGGGCCTCGATGGCCCTCGGCCGAGGTCGAGCGCCCTCGGCCGGGCCTCGATGGCCCTCGGCCGAGGTCGAGCGCCCTCGGCCGGGCCTCCATGGCCCTCGGCCGAGGTCGAGCGCCATCGGCCGGGCCTCGATGGCCCTCGGCCGAGGTCGAGCGCCCTCGGCCGGGCCTGAATGGCCCTCGGCCGAGGCCATGCGCGCTCAGCCGCGCTTCCAAGGCCCTCGGCCGAGGCCAAGCGCGCTCGGCCGCGCCTGAATGGCCCTCGGCCGAGGCCAAGCGCGCTCGGCCGCGCCTGAATGGCCGTCGGCCGAGGCCAAGCGCGCTCGGCCGGGCCTGAATGGCCGTCGGCCGAGGCCAAGCGCGCTCGGCCGGGCCTGAATGGCCCTCGGCCGAGGCCAAGCGCGCTCGGCCGGGCCTGAATGGCCGTCGGCCGAGGCCAAGCGCGCTCGGCCGGGCCTCAGTGGCCGTCGGCCGAGGCCAAGCGCGCTCGGCCGGGCCTGAATGGCCGTCGTCCGAGGCCAAGCGCGCTCGGCCGGGCCTCAATGGCCGTCGGCCGAGGCCAAGCGCGCTCGGCCGGGCCTCAATGGCCGTCGGCCGAGGCCAAGCGCGCTCGGCCGGGCCTCAATGGCCGTCGGCCGAGGCCAAGCGCGCTCGGCCGGGCCTCAATGGCCGTCGGCCGAGGCCAAGCGCGCTCGGCCGGGCCTCAATGGCCGTCGGCCGAGGCCAAGCGCGCTCGGCCGGGCCTCAATGGCCGTCGGCCGAGGCCGAGCGCGCTCGGCCGGGCCTCAATGGCCGTCGGCCGAGGCCGAGCGCGCTCGGCCGGGCCTCAATGGCCGTCGGCCGAGGCCAAGCGCGCTCGGCCGGGCCTCAATGGCCGTCGGCCGAGGCCGAGCGCGCTCGGCCGGGCCTCAATGGCCATCGGCCGAGGCCAAGCGCCCTCGGCCGGGCCTCAATGGCCCTCGGCCGGGCCCCAATGGCCCTCGGCCGAGGCCAAGCGCGCTCGGCCGCGCCTGAATGGCCCTCGGCCGAGGCCATGCGCGCTCGGCCGCGCCTCAATGGCCGTCGGCCGAGGCCAAGCGCGCTCGGCCGGGCCTCAATGGCCGTCGGCCGAGGCCAAGCGCGCTCGGCCGGGCCTCAATGGCCGTCGGCCGAGGCCAAGCGCGCTCGGCCGGGCCTCAATGGCCGTCGGCCGAGGCCAAGCGCGCTCGGCCGGGCCTCAATGGCCGTCGTCCGAGGCCAAGCGCGCTCGGCCGGGCCTCAATGGCCGTCGGCCGAGGCCAAGCGCGCTCGGCCGGGCCTCAATGGCCGTCGGCCGAGGCCAAGCGCGCTCGGCCGGGCCTCAATGGCCGTCGGCCGAGGCCAAGCGCGCTCGGCCGGGCCTCAATGGCCGTCGGCCGAGGCCAAGCGCGCTCGGCCGGGCCTCAATGGCCGTCGGCCGAGGCCGAGCGCGCTCGGCCGGGCCTCAATGGCCGTCGGCCGAGGCCGAGCGCGCTCGGCCGGGCCTCAATGGCCGTCGGCCGAGGCCAAGCGCGCTCGTCCGGGCCTCAATGGCCGTCGGCCGAGGCCGAGCGCGCTCGGCCGGGCCTCAATGGCCGTCGGCCGAGGCCGAGCGCGCTCGGCCGGGCCTCAATGGCCGTCGGCCGAGGCCAAGCGCCCTCGGCCGGGCCTCAATGGCCCTCGGCCGGGCCCCAATGGCCCTCGGCCGAGGCCAAGCGCGCTCGGCCGCGCCTGAATGGCCCTCGGCCGAGGCCAAGCGCGCTCGGCCGCGCCTGAATGGCCCTCGGCCGAGGCCATGCGCGCTCGGCCGGGCCTCAATGGCCGTCGGCCGAGGCCAAGCGCGCTCGGCCGGGCCTCAATGGCCGTCGGCCGAGGCCAAGCGCGCTCGGCCGGGCCTCAATGGCCGTCGGCCGAGGCCAAGCGCGCTCGGCCGGGCCTCAATGGCCGTCGGCCGAGGCCAAGCGCGCTCGGCCGGGCCTCAATGGCCGTCGGCCGAGGCCAAGCGCGCTCGGCCGGGCCTCAATGGCCGTCGGCCGAGGCCAAGCGCGCTCGGCCGGGCCTCAATGGCCGTCGTCCGAGGCCAAGCGCGCTCGGCCGGGCCTCAATGGCCGTCGGCCGAGGCCAAGCGCGCTCGGCCGGGCCTCAATGGCCGTCGGCCGAGGCCAAGCGCGCTCGGCCGGGCCTCAATGGCCGTCGGCCGAGGCCAAGCGCGCTCGGCCGGGCCTCAATGGCCGTCGGCCGAGGCCAAGCGCGCTCGGCCGGGCCTCAATGGCCGTCGGCCGAGGTCAAGCGCCCTCGGCCGGGCCTCAATGGCCCTCGGCCGGGCCTCAATGGCCCTCGGCCGAGGTCAAGCGCCCTCGGCCGGGCCTCAATGGCCCTCGGCCGGGGTCAAGCGCCCTCGGCCGGGCCTCAATGGCCCTCGGCCGAGGTCAAGCGCGGGAGAATGGGGCGGGGTGATGGAAGGAGGGAGAATGGGGCGGGGTGATGGAAGGAGGGAGAATGGGGCGGGGTGATGGAAAGCGGGAGAATGGGGCGGGGTGATGGAAAGCGGGAGAATGGGGCGGGGTGATGGAAAGCGGGAGAATGGGGCGGGGTGATGGAAAGCGGGAGAATGGGGCGGGGTGATGGAAAGCGGGAGAATGAGGCGGGGTGATGGAAGGAGGGAGAATGGGGCGGGGTGATGGAAGGAGGGAGAATGGGGCGGGGTGAGAGAAGGAGGGAGAATGGGGCGGGGTGATGGAAAGTGGGAGAATGGAGCGGGGTGATGGAAAGTGGGAGAATGGGGCTGGGTGATGGAAAGCGGGAGAATGGGCCGGGGTGAGAGAAGGAGGGAGAATGGGGCGGGGTGATCGAAAGTGGGAGAATGGGGCTGGGTGATGGAAGGAGGGAGAATGGGGCGGGGTGATGGAAGGAGGGAGAATGGGGCGTGGTGACGGAAAGCGGGAGAATAGGGAGGGGTGATGGAAAGCGGGAGAATGGGGCGGGGTGATGGAAGGCAGGAGAATGGGGCGGGGTGATTTAAAGCGGGAGAATGGGGCGGTGTGGTGGAAAGTGGGAGAATGGGGCGGGGTGATGGAAAGCGAGAGAATAGGGTGGGGTGATGGAAAGCGGGAGAATGGGGCGGGGTGATGGAAAGCGAAAGAATGGGGCGGGGTGATGGAAAGCGGGAGAATGTGGCGGGGTGATGGAAAGCAGGAGAATGGGGCGGGGTGATGGAAGGTGGGAGAATGGGGCGGGGTGATGGAAGGAGGGAGAACGGGGCGGGGTGATGGAAAGTGGGAGAATGGGGCGGGGTGATGGAAAGCGGGAGAATAGAGCGGGGTGATGGAAAGCGGGAGAATGGGGCGGGGTGATGGAAAGCGGGAGAATGAGGCGCGGTGATGGAAAGCGGGAGAATGGGACGGGGTGATGGAAGGAGGGAGAATGGGGCGGGGTGATGGAAGGAGGGAGAATGGGGCGGGATGATGGAAAACGGGAGAATGGGGCGGGTGATAGAAAGCGGGAGAATGGGGCGGGGTGATGGAAAGCGGGAGAATGGGGCGGGGTGATGGAAAGCGGGAGAATGGGGCGGGGTGATGGAAAGCGGGAGAATGGGGCGGGGTGATGGAAAGCGGTAGAATGGGGCGGGGTGATGGAAGGAGGGAGGATGGGGCGGGGTGATGGAAAGCGGGAGAATGGGGCGGGGTGATAGAAAGCGGGAGAATGAGGCGGGGTGATGGAAGGAGGGAGAATGGGGCGGGGTAAGAGAAGGAGGGAGAATGGGGCGGGGTGATGGAAAGTGGGAGAATGGGGCTGGGTGACGGAAAGCGGGACAATGGGGCGGGGTGATGGAAGGAGGGAGAATGGGGTGGGGTGATGGAAGGAGGGAGAATGGGGCGTGGTGACGGAAAGCGGGAGAATAGGGCGGGGTGATGGAAAGCGGGAGAATGGGGCGGGGTGATGGAAGGCGGGAGAATGGGGCGGGGTGATGGAAGGAGGGAGAATGGGGCGGAGTGATGGAAAGTGGAAGAATGGGGCGGGGTGATGGAAGGAGGGAGAATGGGGCGGGGTGATGGAAGGAGGGAGAATGGGGCGGGGTGATGGAAAGCGGGAGAATGGGGCGAGGTGATGGAAAGCGGGAGAATGGGGCGGGGTGATGGAAAGCGGGAGAATGGGGCGGGGTGATGGAAAGCGGGAGAATGGGGCGGGGTGATGGAAAGCGGGAGAATGGGGCGGGGTGATGGAAGGCGGGAGAATGGGGCGGGGTGATGGAAGGAGGGAGAATGGGGCGGGGTGATAGAAGGAGGGAGAATGGGTCGGGGTGATGGAAAGCGGGAGAATGGGGCGGGGTGATGGAAAGCGGGAGAATGGGGCGGGGTGATGGAAAGAGGGAGAATGGAGCGGGGTGATGGAAAGCGGGAGAATGGGGCGGGGTGATGGAAAGCGAGAGAATGAGGCGGGGTGATGGAAAGCGGGAGAATGGGGCGGGGTGATGGAAAGCGGGAGAATGGGCCGGGGTGAAGGAAAGCGGGAGAATGGGGCAGGGTGATGGAAAGCGGGAGAATGGGGCGGGGTGATGGAAAGCGGGAGAATGGGGCGGGGTGATGGAAGGAGGGAGAATGGGGCAGGGTGATGGAAGGAGGGAGAATGGGGCGGGGTGATGGAAAGCGGAAGAATGGGGCGGGGTGATGGAAAGCGGGAGAATGGGGCGGGGTGATGGAAATCGGGAGAATGGGGAAGGGTGATGGAAAGTAGGAGAATGGGCCAGGGTGATGGAAAGCGGGAGAATGAATGCGTGGTGATGGAAAAAAGTCCAATCTAGAGGACTAGCAAAAAAAAAGAGGCATCCAATGCAGTGGACCAATCAAAGTGATGCACTGGGCAGTCGGGTCAGTATGCGTACCTACGATGGGCGTACCTGGGAGAGTTGGGGCGCTCAAATCGTGCAAACCGCGTGAATGGAAATTGAGCCACTTGTTGTGGTTGTGGAAAATAGTATAATCTAGAGGACTAGCAAAAAAGAAGAGGCATCCAATGCAGTGGAGCCTCCTTTTTTTTGCTAGTCCTCTAGATTAGAATATTTTCCACAACCACAAGAAGTGGATCCATTTCATTCCACGTGGTTTGCACGATTTGAGCGCCCCAACTCTCCCGATACGCCCATCGTAGGTGCGTATACTGACCCGACTGCCCAGCGCATCACTTTGATTGGTCCACTGCATTGGATGCCTCCTTTTTTTTGCTAGTCCTCTAGATTATACTATTTTCCACAACCACAAGAAGTGGATCCATTTCATTCCACGTGGTTTGCACGATTTGAGCGCCCCAACTCTCCCGATACGCCCATCGTAGGTGCGTATACTGACCCGACTGCCCAGCGCATCACTTTGATTGGTCCACTGCATTGGATGCCTCCTTTTTTTTGCTAGTCCTCTAGATTATACTATTTTCCACAACCACAAGAAGTGGATCCATTTCATTCCACGTGGTTTGCACGATTTGAGCGCCCCAACTCTCCCGATACGCCCATCGTAGGTGCGCATACTGACCCGACTGCCCAGCGCATCACTTTGATTGGTCCACTGCATTGGATGCCTCTTTTTTTTTGCTAGTCCTCTAGATTATACTATTTTCCACAACCCCAACAAGTGGCTCCATTTCATTCCACGTGGTTTGCACGATTTGAGCGCCCCAACTCTCCCGATACGCCCATCGTAGGTGCGCATACTGACCCGACTGCCCAGCGCATCACTTTGATTGGTCCACTGCATTGGATGCCTCTTTTTTTTTGCTAGTCCTCTAGATTATACTTTTTTCCACAACCACAACAAGTGGCTCCATTTCATTCCACGTGGTTTGCACGATTTCAGCGCCCCAACTCTCCCGGGTACGCCCATCGTAGGTGCGCATACTGACCCAACTACCTAGCGCATCATGTTGATTGGTCCACTGCATTGGAGGCCTCATTCTTTTAGATTGGACTTTTTTCCATCACCCCGCCCCATTCTCCCGCTTTCCATCACCCTGCCCCATTCTCCCGCTTTCCATCACCCTGCCCCCTTCTCCCGCTTTCCATCACCGCGCCCCATTCTACCGCTTTCCATCACCCCGCCCCGTTCTCCCGCTTTCCATCACACCGCCCCATTCTCCCTCCTTCCATCACCCCGCCCCATTCTCACGCTTTCTATCACCCCGCCCCATTCTCCCTCCTTCCATCACCCCGCCCCATTCAACCGCTTTCCATCACCCCGCCCCATTCTCCCTCCTTCCATCACCCCGCCCCATTCTCCCGCCTTCCATCACCCCGCCCCATTCTCCCGCTTTCCATCACCCCGCCCTATTCTCCCGCTTTCCGTCACCACGCCCCATTCTCCCTCCTTCCATCACCCCACCCCATTCTCCCTCCTTCCATCACCCCGCCCCATTGTCCCGCTTTCCGTCACCCAGCCCCATTCTCCCACTTTCCATCACCCCGCCCCATTCTCCCTCCTTCTCTTACCCCGCCCCATTCTCCCTCCTTCCATCACCCCGCCCCATTCTCCCGCTTTCCATCGCCCCGCCCCATTCTCCCGCTTTCCATCACCACGCCCCATTCTCCCGCTTTCCATCACCCCGCCCCATTCTCCCTCCTTCCATCACCCCGCCCCATTCTCCCTCCTTCCATCACCCCGTCCCATTCTCCCTCCTTCCATCACCCCGCCCCATTCTCCCTCCTTCCATCACCTCGCCCCATTCTCCCGCTTTCCATCACCCCGCCCCATTCTCCCGCTTTCCATCACCCCGCCCCATTCTCCCGCTTTCCTTCACCCCGCCCCATTCTCCCGCTTTCCATCATCCCGCCCCATTCTCCCGCTTTCCATCACCCCGCCCCATTCTCCCGCTTTCCATCACCCCGCCCCATTCTTCCGCCTTCCATCACCCCGCCCCATTCTCCCTCCTTCCATCACCCCGCCCAGTTCTCCCGATTTCCATCACCCCGCCCCTTTCTCCCGCTTTCCATCACCCCGCCCCATTCTCCCGCTTTCCATCACCCCGCCCCATTCTCCCGCCTTCTATCACCCCGCCCCATTCTCCCTCCTTCCATCACCCCGGCTCATTCTCCCTCCTTCCATCACCCCGCCCCATTCTCCCGCTTTCCATCACCCCGCCCCATTCTCCCGCTTTCCATCACCCCGCCCCATTCTCCCGCTTTCCATCACCCCGCCCCATTCTCCCGCTTTCCATCACCCCGCCCCATTCTCCCGCTTTCCATCACCCCACCCCATTCTCCCGCTTTCCATCACCCCGCCTTATTCTCCCGCTTTCCATCACCCCGCCCCATTCTCCCTCCTTCCATCACCCCGCCCCATTCTCCCTCCTTCCATCACCCCGCCCCATTCTCCCGCTTTCCATCACCCCGTCCCATTCTCCCGCCTACCATCACCCCGCCTCATTCTCCCGCTTTCCATCACCCCGCCCCATTCTCCCGCTTTCCATCACCCCGCCCCATTCTCCCGCTTTCCATCACCCCGGCCCATACTCCCGCTTTCCATCACCCCGCCCCATTCTCCCTCTTTCCATCACCCCGCCCCATTCTCCCGCTTTTCATCACCCCGCCCCATTCGCCCGCTTTCCATCACCCCGCCCCATTCTCCCTCCTTCTATCACCCCGCCCCATTCTCCCGCTTTCCATCACCCCGCCCCATTCTCTCTCCTTCCATCTCCCCGCCCCATTCTCCCTCGTTCCATCACCCCACCTCATTCTCTTGCTTTCCATCACCCCGCCCCGTTTTCCCGCTTTCCATCACCCCGCTCCATTCCCCCGCTTTCCATCACCCCGCCCCATTCTCCCGCTTTCCATCACCCCGCCCCATTCTCCCGCTTTCCATCACCCCGCCCCATTCTCCCGCTTTCCATCACCCCGCCCCATTCTCCCGCTTTCCATCACCCTGCCCAATTCTCCCGCTTTCCATCACCCCGCCCCATTTTCCCGCTTTCCATCACCCCGCCCCATTCTCCTTCTTTCCATCACCCCGCCCCATTCTCCCGCTTTCCATCACCCCGCCCCATTCTCCCGCTTTCCATCACCCCGCTCCATTCTCCCTCTTTCCATCACCCCGCCCCATTCTCCCTCCTTCCATCACCCCGCCCCATTCTCCCTCCTTCCATCACCCCGCCCCATTCTCCGGCTTTCTATCACCCCGCCCCATTCTCCTGCTTTCCATCACCCCGTCCCATTCTCCCGCTTACCATCACCCCGCCTCATTCTCCCGCTTTCCATCACCCCGCCCCATTCTCCCGCTTTCCATCACCCCGCCCCGTTCTCCCGCTTTCCATCACCCCGCCCCATTCTTCCTCTTTCCATAACCCCGCCCCATTCTCCCGCTTTCCATCACCCCGCCCCATTCTCCCGCTTTCCATCACCCCGCCCCATTCTCCCGCTTTCCATCACCCCGAACCATTCTCCCGCTTTCCAGCACCCCGCTTCATTCTCCCGCTTTCCATCACGTGGCCCCATTCTCCCGCTTTCCATCACCCCGCCCCATTCACCCTCTTTCCATCACCCCGCCCCACTCTCCCTCCTTCCATCACCCTGCCCCATTCTCCCTCCTTCAATCACCCCGCCCCATTCTCCCACTATCCATCACCCCGCCCCATTCTCCCGCTTTCCATCACCCCGCCCCATTCTCCCTCCTTCCATCACCCCGCCCCATTCTCCCTCCTTCCATCACCCCGCCCCATTCTCCCGCTTTCCATCACCCCGCCCCTTTCTCCCGCTTTTCATCACCTCGCCCCATTCTCCTGCTCTCCATCACCCCGCCCCATTCTCCCGCTTTCCATCACCCCGCCCCATTCTCCCGCTTTCCATCACCCCGCCCCATTCTCCCGCTTTCCATCACCCCGCCCCATTCTCCCGCTTTCCATCACCCCGCCCCATTCTCCCTCCTTCCATCACCCCGCCCCATTCTCCCTCCTTCCATCACCCCGTCCCATTCTCCCGCTTTCTATCACCCCGCCCCATTCTCCCGCTTTCCATCACCCCGTCCCATTCTCCCGCTTTTCATTACCCCGCCTCATTCTCCCGCATTCCATCACCCCGCCCCATTCTCCCGCATTCCATCACCCCGCCCCATTCTCCCGCTTTCCATCACCCCGCCCCATTCTCCCACTTTCCATCACCCGGCCCCGTTCTCCCTCCTTCCATCGACCCGCCCCATTCTCCCGCTTTCCATCACCCCGCCCTATTCTCCCGCTTTCCATCACCCCGCCCCATTCTCCTGCTTTCCATCACCCCGCCCCGTTCTCCCTCCTTCCATCACCCGCCCCATTCTCCCTCCTTCCATCACCCTACCCCATTCTCCCGCTTTCCATCACCCCGCCACATTCTCCCGCTTTCCATCACCCCGCCCCATTCTCCCGCTCTCCATCACCCCGCCCCATTCTCCCGCTTTCCATCACCCCGCCCCATTCTCCCGCTTTCCATCACCCCGCCCCATTCTCCCGCTTTCCATCACCCTGCCCCATTCTCCCGATTTCCATCACCCCGCCCCATTCTCCCTCCTTCTATCACCCCGCCCCATTCTCCCGCTTTCCATCACCCCGCCCCATTCTCCCGCTTTCCATCACCCCACCCCATTCTCCCGCTTTCCATCACCCCGCCTTATTCTCCCGCTTTCCATCACCCCGCCCCATTCTCCCGCTTTCCATCACCCCGCCCCATTCTCCCACTTTCCATCACCCGGCCCCGTTCTCCCTCCTTCCATCGACCCGCCCCATTCTCCCGCTTTCCATCACCCCGCCCTATTCTCCCGCTTTCCATCACCCCGCCCCATTCTCCTGCTTTCCATCACCCCGCCCCGTTCTCCCTCCTTCCATCACCCGCCCCATTCTCCCTCCTTCCATCACCCTACCCCATTCTCCCGCTTTCCATCACCCCGCCACATTCTCCCGCTTTCCATCACCCCGCCCCATTCTCCCGCTCTCCATCACCCCGCCCCATTCTCCCGCTTTCCATCACCCCGCCCCATTCTCCCGCTTTCCATCACCCCGCCCCATTCTCCCGCTTTCCATCACCCTGCCCCATTCTCCCGATTTCCATCACCCCGCCCCATTCTCCCTCCTTCTATCACCCCGCCCCATTCTCCCTCCTTCCATCACCCCGCCCCATTCTCCCTCCTTCCATCACCCCACCCCATTCTTCCGCTATCCATCACCCCGCCC